CGGTAACCTGGTTGCCGAGTTCACGAAGTGAATTGGCTTGTTTTACAACGTATTTGCCAAGCGACGAAAACCCGACCCCGATGGCAAACACCGGGGGGGGCGATACTTCCTTGCGTACGGATGATAGCTGAGACAGTTGTAAGCACTGTGTAACTGCCTCGAGGGTGCTTGACCATNNNCCTGGTTGCCGAGCTCACGAGGTCTATTGGCTTGTTTTACAACGTCGTTGCCAAGCGACGAAAACCCAACCCCGATGGCAAAAACCGGGGGGGGCGGCTTGTTTTACAACGTCGTTGCCAAGCGACGAAAACCCAACCCCGATGGCAAACACCGGGGGGGCGGGGGGAGGGAGATTCACACAAGGCATGCGCTTGTTGTCAGTTTTCGGGATGTTTATAAATTTGTACGGTTGATTAGATAACTCTGCAGTGTCATTCATTCCCTTCGCTCGTTTCGCCGAAATTTGGCGCCGCTGTGCCTGCTTCACGTGCAACTTATGGCGGCCCAAAAAATGACCCGTGCGTTGTACGCGCCCTCGCGCCCACAACGAAAAACACGGAACAAGAACGTGGCGAAACGAATTATCACTTTGATCTCCTTCCACCCCGCCCCCTGACTCGCCTGAGCGATCCCGGCCGCCGGCATGAAAGCCACCACGGCCACGTACAGCTCGATCACCACGCTCCCCACCCTCCGCGCCCTGCCCACTGCGGGGCCCCCGCCGCCGGCCCTTGACCCTGAGCCGCGACGCGACAGCACCGCCGCCGGCCTGGGCAGGGCCGCTTCCAGCAGGACCATCAGGGCGCAGGAGTAGGTGCCCGCGGCTCCTAGCGCGGACCAGGAGACGATGGCGGCGTCGGCGCCGGGCATGGAGGCGAGGGCGGACCAGACGCCCACGGGGACGGCGACGGCGACGGCGAACGCCGCTCTTCTCGCCAGGGTTCTGCTTGGTGTAAGGATGGGGGCAAGGGGGGGAAGGGAGGGAGTGAAAATGTACCCACGGGGACCCCGATCGAAACGTCTTGTCAGAGTCTTGGTGTTAGGAAGGGGCAACGGTGGGTTGGACTAGGTACCTTTGGAGCTCACAGGTCGACAAGGTGCCGCCTGCGAGGGTAGATATATCAATCGTGGACAACTCTTTCAGCCAGCACAGCGGCAGCGGTATCACCAGCACCAGCAGTGGTAGAAAAACTACAAAGAGCAGCGACACCAGTTAGTCGCGCCACACTCACTTGGTTGGTGAAGCTAGCCCCGTCAGTGTCAACACGCCGACCCCGGCAACGGCGACGCCGCAGGCCTGCTCGACGTACTCTCTCCACGATCTCCACGATCGACCTACGCCGCCATTGTTACCCTCGACCACACCGCTCAGGGCAGAGGGCTGCAACACGAGCAACCCCATGGAAGCCGCAAGCAATGCGGCTCCCGACCTCCGAGCCTAGAACGGGCAGGCGTTGGGAACAGCGCGCCGCGGGTATCTAAGCGATAAATGTGCTGGAAACAACAAGCACACTCGAAGTCTTCCCACCGTGACAACGTCAAGTCGACAGGGTGTGGATCGAGCAGTAAGATGCCAAACAAAACACCACCCCGGGTGAGAAGCCGGAGTCAACCGAAACTCGTCCAATGCGGCAAAAACGCGAAACTAAACGGTATGGAACGGACAGAATATCGATGGAAAAACGAGACCTAACGGTACCTTAGCGCGGGCCTTGCTGCCTACAGCTGCCTACCCCCGCTTAAGCGGAGATGTGAGCCAAACGAGCAAAAAAATCGACCGTTGAGACCAAGCAACGACGACGACGACGACGACGACACAGCAGCATCGTTGGGAACATAATGTTTCAACTACACTCTTGGCAGATTGTTGTCGTCGCGTGACATCGTGTTTGGTGTACACGCATGTGGGGTCAAACGTTTTGCGCGAGATAGAAAAGCATGCACTAACCATGCGGGAGTCCGGGAAGTGCCTCGACACCACGGCCAGGGCGTAGAGTGCAAGAATCACGCCGCAGAAAGCGAGCGAGTGGGCCGGGGAATCGACCGAGGAGGCGCTAGCGCTCACGACGTGGCTTCCGCCCGACAGCAGCTCCCTCAAGAGGGGGGAGATCACGGGGCGAGAGCAGATGTACAGGGCGCTCGCCATGAAGAACACGCAGAGGCCTCCCTGTCACAAGAAGCAGGGGCGGGGGGAGGGGTACTAACGTAAACGCGTGCCGTAGTCGTTAGATGATGAATCTCGCATCCCTACAATGCGTTCGCCATGAAGAACTCGCAGAGGGCTCCTCTGTTACAGGACGCGAGAGATCGGGGGAGGATTGGGGATTCCGGAGTGGTAAAACCAACATGGGGGTGGGTGGGGAGGGAGAGGGAGAGGAGGTTGCGTGCCCCCCTCATGTGAGCCGTCTGCTCTCAACGCTTCTACGGGGAATACTTGACAAATCTTTGTCCACCACTACATTCCGCTGCCTGAGTCGGGCTTCCTGGGCTAACCTGTTTCGGTTACAGTACATCGCATCGCTGCGTTGAAGAATCTGGTTGTCTGAGGTCGCACTGCTGCTTCTCGAGGGTTCGTCACAACAAACACCACTCACTGCGTGTCTTACAGGGTTGGTTGGCTTAACCATTAATCTTCTGAGAGAAGTTTACGTCCGTTACTACAAAACCCAAACAAAGTTAACCCCCCCCCCCCCCCCCGTTTTTTTTTGGCGGTAACCATCATGGTGGTCGAGTAGATCATGTTGTGCGGAGTGGAGAACCCTCGCTCCGCGCAAGGGGGATGATCGCACCACGTTGTGTTAAATTGGTCAAGCACCCTCGAGGCAGTTACCCAGTGCTTAGAACTGTCTCCGGAAGTGAAAGCACCAGAAAATCAATGAAGTCACACGCAGCTGTCATCCGTACGCAAGGAAGTAAGCACAAGATGCCGAAAACCCTTAGCAGGACGCAGCGCACACTTCATGCGACTCGCCGAATATCACACGGCGCTTCGCGCTTGGTGATTTGAGAGCCTGGTCCGGTGAGAACCCGGCGTGCCCCGTCCCAGCTTTGTAGGGATGCGAGGTCAATGGTCTAATGACTACGGCATGCAAGANGACCAGTCCTCAGCGATCCCTGAACCTACGGGGGCCCCGCTTCCGAGGCGGGTTCCGACAGCAGTCTGTGTAGGAGGCGTTCTCCGGAAGAGCGCGAACGGGGCGGCGGAGGCCATGGCTAGCGAGACGATCGGGACAACCGTGAACAGGTAGGACATCTCCGGAGATTCTGCTCGATAGAAGCGTGCCGTCAAAACGGCAGAAAGAGAGAGAGCACGGTGACAGCGGGAGGGGCAACACATGGAAAAGGGGGGCACGATGCGCATTCAACGGGCAGGCGTCGTGAGGGGTTTCGCTAGCAGAATCAACGGAAAAGCACCAATGTCGGGAGGGGAGCTGTACTCTTCTCGTGGTTGATGAGCACCATGCCTGGCACAGAAGCCATTACACCACGGTGTGCTGTTGGGGAGGAGTGCTTGCGTGGTTGATGAGCAGTATGTCTTCTCTGCCACGCTTCAGAGGAAAGACTGTCGTCCCAAATGGGTGGTACGAGTCCCGCTGTAGACATGGAGTACAGATGGATGGTTCCTTGCGTCAGCAAACAAGGAAAAAAAAATCGAAAGAAAGCTAAGATGTAACATATGCATACATATTGTATTGGTGTATTGGGAGCAGGAAAACGGCACCCACTTCTCAAGGTCGACGCACAGATGGATGTGCTTTTGCCCTGCACGTCAGAAGCAAGCGTATCGATTCCCAGGCTTCACAGCAAAACGCCCGACCTGAGGGAAGGAAGACACGCCGCCGGGCCGAGCTACCAGTGCTCTTCGCACCGCTAAAGAAACGAGAGAAAAAAAAAAAGTAGCCTTCAAGGGATGAGCCAAACAGATTTCAAACACTCTCACGGCTGGCTCATCCAACTGTTTGTCTTCAAATCAACCCATCCCTACACCACGTTGGTACTATCGTTATCGCACCTCCATCTGTCGGAACGAGGACTGCCACGAAATACGCCAGCATCTTGGCGGCGCCAATGCTCCCGGGTACCCTATGCCGAGAAAAGAGAAGGAAAGACAAACAGCCGGGGGGGGGGGGGGNGGGGGGGGGGGGGGATCGGAGGCCTCCACGGACTGAGGGGGTACGGTAAAATAGAAAATAGGACAAGGGATCCCATGAGGTAAAATTCAACTCAAGTACGCCTAGAGGGAGTTGTCAGGTTGAAACTTACGAAGGGAGGGAAGGAGGGAGGGAGGGACCCGGTGGCCTCTCCATTCGTGAATCGTGGGTGCCACACTCTCCTGGATGAAGCTAAGGTTCTAGGTGAAGCCCGGGCGAAAGCGAAGCGAAGCGAGGCAGCGGTGTGGCGTTCGTCCAAGCGCTGTAGTACCAAGAACACTGCTGCCCTCTGAGTTAACGAACAAAATGCAGACACTGTTAACCAGACTCACTGTACCACAACACGGAACACAGAAAAACCAACGCAAGGCTAAGACCAAGAGGACACCGACAAGCACACGCTGACAACCCAAATAGACATCGCTGCTCGGCAATACTCTCTAGTTTTTCTCCGAATTAATATTGTCATCTCGAACACATTGGTGGCCATTTCTCCTCGAAAAGGTTTGGTTAACACTACTCTCCAGTTTTTCTCCAAATTAGTGTTGTCATCTCGAACACATTGGTAGCCATTTCTCCTCGAAAAGGTTTGATTTACATTGCTTCTCGAAAGTAAACGTTCCTTCTTGAAAAGTGATACACCTTCTCAAGAACAAGCTTCAATTCTCGAACATAGATAACTCCTGTATTCCCTCAAAGCAAGGACCGTTTCCTTCTCGAAAATTGCGGCTTAATACCTTGAATCTAAAAGAATCCCGTCGTCGTCGTTTGGCCCGAGCACTCACCACAAGAACAGGGGGTCTACCCCGTGGTCCCGCACGAGTCGAAACGCCATCCAGATTTCCAGAGCACCCGTCAGCGCCACCAGCGGGAGGGGGTACAGCCCGTCCAGCTGCCAGGGGTCCCGTGCCTCCGCGCCGACGAGTACGATCTCGAGCAGCATCAGGACCACGGCGTGCAGGCTAGCAAAGGAGGGGGGGGGGCGTANCGTGCTCGACAGGACGGAGACTTGGGGGGAGGGATGCACTCGAGTTGCTTGTGAATCGGTGGGGTGCGTCGGCCTTTGAATACGGGTACGGCTGTTACTGCTGCTGCTGCTGCTGCTGCTGCTACTGCCTCTGCTGCTGCTACACTCCCTTGAAACTCTCACCCGAAAACGACGCCTATCGCCACCTGCCGCACGCCGAAGGCCACCATGCCCGGCACCAGCAACACCCCGAAGCACAGGGCCGCGCAGCACGCCGAGACCTGCTGCAGCGACAACGACGACGACAGCGGTGGAGAAGACGTCGCCCCTCCCTCCCAGTGCCGAGGCCCCAGCGGCAGCGCGAAGCTGAAGCTCAGGTGCCACACAGTCTGCCACGAAAACCACAGGGTGAAGGACGACACGCCGGCAACCCCCACCTGCCACGAGAGATGGCGGGGCAATTACCAGCAGCAGCGGAAGCGGCGGTAGCAAGCAGTGCCACACAAGGGTTAAGGCCGGGTCGGCTCAGGCTTGCCACATAGGCCTTGGGGTCCTTCATTTGTTACGGCGGCAGGGGTGATACAGCAATCAGGATACGTCCTTGTGTTGGATGCACACAAAAGCAATCGAAACTGCAATCGGAATTGCCGTACGCCACAAATATGGTCAGGATTAGCGCCCCGTCGCTTGGCTTCCTACGTATGCCTTGAGGCCCCGCCTCATCACGGCGGTAGGAACGATACACCAATGAGGGGACGACATCCCTCCTTGGGTGTTTGCAATCTTTCTGCACACAAAAGTAATTGGAACTGCAATGGGAACTGCTGCAGTCACTGAGGGATAAGGCCCGATCGGCTTGGCTTACCACTCAGGCCTTGCTTGAGGCCCCGCGTCATCATCACGGCGGCGGCAACGGTGATTCAGCAAATGAGGAGACGTCTTTGTGTGTGCGCGGTCTCTTTCTGTCCACAAGAGTAATAAAACCTGCCAATCGGAACTGTCACCTTGAAAAATCCCAGCTTCACTCTTGTTGAGGCTATCAAGCCTATGGTACAGGTATAAGGCCCGGTCGGCTTGGCTTACCACGTAGGCCTTGAGGTCCCGCCTATCCGAGAAGACTAGCATGGACAGCGCGAAGGCGGACAAGTCGAACAGCGGCATCACCGCCTGCTCCACGCCCAACAATAGTCCCAAACACCTGGGGGTTTTCCGGATGGCATCATGTGTGCACAGACACGAACACGCGCACGGCATTCTCATTCGCGTGAGTAAAAAGCGAAGTGTCAACAGATACACAAAACATAACGGGGCGCTGACGCTGCAACAAGTCCTCACTCACGGGGGCGCCGGCCAGTGTTGGGCGCGCGCGGGGGGGGGTCCACACAGTCGGGGGAGGGGGGGGTTACTCACAGTCGTGCATGCCGTAGTCGTTAG